ACTTGGAGAACTCATCTCCTCATTCGGTAGAGAGGTTGTGTTGAGGATGTCGTCCGGAGTGGAGTCAAGGTCCTGTAAGGAGGTAGCGGGCTCCTGAGTTGGAGCATTGGGATGGGTGCACCGAGTGTAGAGACGGACAGTGAGAGGAGAAGATGGTGCGCTCTACGGGACTGAGGACTCCTTAGTGGTGGGAACAATGGGAGGGCCATCCATAAGAGTAGGATAAGGGCCAGAGTTGGGGAACTCAAGCTCTCCCTCACTGAAGGTTGAGCTAGAAAAATAGGGAACAGTTTTAAAGATGGGTACATCATCACTCATATAGATTTTTTTTGTGGTTGAATCAATACATCGATACTTCTTTTGAAATACAGAGTATCCAAGAAATATACATTTATGGATATGGGATCAAGTATACTTTTAGTAGGGGCAGTGCTTTGAATAAAGACAGTGGATCCAAAAATCTTTGGATTTACAGTAGAGAAGACCCGATTGGCATAGAAGCATGACATCAGGACGACTAAGGGGGTTCGCAACTTGTGAATTTTAGAGAGGACTTTATTTATGAGATAAGTGACAGTTATAATGTCATCGTTTCAAAAACATTTTCGGACATTAGATTGAAACATAATGAAGTAATCACGTCGAGGAGGTGACGATTTTTCTTCTCGACTACCAAATGCTGTTGAGAAGTGTCCGTGCAAAAATTATGATGGAGGATGTCTTTACTTACCAAGAATTCACTCAAAATAGAGTTGAAAAACTCACAACTATTGTTGGTCCGAATGACTTAAATAAGAGTTTTAAATTGAGTCAAGACAAAGTTGTAGAAATTTTGGAAGGTAACAATGACTTCCGATTTGTCTTTTAAGATGTAGACCCACATTTTGAGTGTTGTTAGCAATTAAGGTCAAGAACCAGCGTTTATTAGTGTAGTTGGAAGTGCGAGAAGGTCCACATTTGTCACTGTGAATAGGGTTATCAAAACGATTTGTTGTTTGCTAACAGCGTGTGTTCGACTTGTTAAATATCTCGTGTTCGATTCTTTCGCTAAGTAAATGAACCAAACACAAACAATTGTTTGTGCTCGATATATAAACAAGCTGAACGCGAACAAAGTTTTGTTTGTTTGCGTTCAGCCCGTTTTGACTCGAAATAATTAAATTATA